TTTTTTGTTTCAATGCCGCCTTATTTTTGAGAACTCTCCTGGCAGTTTTCCAACTGATAAGAAGAAGATAACTTTTATTTTGTCCCAACTAACCGGACGAGCCTAAGAGTGGGCGGAGGCAAGGTTTGCCTCCAAGGACAGCTTCAGATGTACTTTTTCTGAATTTGTTTCTGAATTTTCCCAGGTGTTTAATCAGGACTCTGATCAAACAATTGACTCTCGAGCTCTGCTGAATCTAAGACAGGGAAGTTCCTCAGTAGCGGATTTTTCCATCAACTTCCGGGTCAAAACCGCAGCTTCCGGATGGAACGAATGTGCTCTTAAAAGTGCATATTTTAAGGCTTTGAATAACAACATCAAAGATGAACTTGCAACTCTCGACGAACCAGCTAGTCTGGAGGATTTAATCCGCCTAACTATTAGGTTGGACAACAGACTTCGTGCTAGAAACAGTTCAAGACAAAGGATTCAAAGTTTTTCTTTGTCAGCCCCTGCATTGAGTAATGCTTCTGTTTTTTCTGGATCCACAGAACCCGTTTCCAAGCCGAGGCCTAAAACCCAGTCTCTCTCTATGCCTGTCCAGGTCTCTCACTCAGTTGAGACGGAAGCCGAACCTATGCAGGTTGGACACACAAGGCTAACCCCTGAGGAAAGACTAAGACGTTTCAGGGGCAAATTGTGCATCTACTGTGGTGAGACTGGCCATTTCATTGCTTCATGCCCAGCTAAGTCAAAAGCCGGGGCCCGTCAGAGGAACTGAGGAGTCTGACGGGCCATTTGAAGACTGAAAAATCTCCTCATTTGATGCTTCCAGCCACCCTATTTTTCTCCAACCAGAATCTCACATTGTCAGCTTTTATCGACTCTGGATGTGAGCGTAATCTGATAGACTCTAACCTGGTTCTGCAGTTACAGATCGAAACTGTCCCTTTAACCAAGCCACTTAGTGTCTCTGCTATTGATGGGAAGAGACTCCATCAGGTTACCCATCAAACGCAACCTCTTGAACTTTTGATCTCTGGTAATCATCGTGAAACTCTGACATTTTTTGTTCTTCCTTCTACATGTTCTCCCTTGGTGCTTGGTTTTGAGTGGCTGGAACGACATAATCCCCATATAAACTGGGCTGAACGCCACATTGAGTCGTGGTCGACCTCATGTCACGAAACATGCCTTCGTTCTGCAGCTCCCGCTGTACAGTCCCCTAGAGGTAGGGGGGAGATGGACTCTCCTGACCTTACTTCTGTCCCTTCCAAGTACCATGATCTGGCTCCTGTCTTCAGTAAGGTCAGTGCTACGTCTCTTCCACCTCACAGACCATATGACTGTGCGATTGAGCTATTACCAGGAGCTCCACTGCCCAGCAGTAGACTTTACAACATTTCCAAACCAGAACGAGAAACCATGGAAAAATACATAAATGAGTCCCTAGCTGCTTGAATAATCCGTCCATCTTCTTCTTTTTTGTGAGCAAAAAGGATGGTTCTCTAAGACCTTGTATAGACTACAGAGGTCTTAACCAAATAACTGTTAAAAATAAATACCCACTTCCGTTACTAGCATCAGCCTTTGAACCAGTACAAGGGGCTACTGTCTTCACCAAGCTCGACTTCAGAAATGCATATCACCTTCTCAGGATTAGAGAAGGTGACGAATGGAAGACAGCCTTTAAAACCCCTTTGGGCCAGTTTGAATATCTGGTCATGCCTTTTGGTCCCACTAACTCTCCCGCATGTTTTCAAGCCCTCGTCAACGATGTCCTCAGAGACTTTTTGAATATCTTCGTGTTTGTATACATTGACGACATCTTAATCTATTCAAAGAACCTTTCCGAGCATAAAAAACATGTCCGCCTGGTCCTGCAAAGATTGTTGGAGAACAAACTTTTTGTAAAGGCTGAAAAATGCGAGTTTCATCAACCTTCAGTCACCTTTTTAGGGTTTGTGCTTGAGGGCGGGCAGGTTAAGCCATCTGAAGAAAAGATAAAAGCAGTTTTGGATTGGCAGATCTGAAAACCGAAAACAGCTGCAGAGATTCCTGGGTTTTGCCAACTTCTACCATCGTTTTATCAGGAATTATAGTCAGACAGCTCTACCTCTCACAACCCTAACATCAGTCAAAAAGACCTTCCTGTGGACCCCCGAAGCTCAAAGTGCTTTTGATAAATTAAAGACTTTGTTTTCCAAAGCTCCTGTGTTAATCCAGCCTGATCCTGCCAAGCAATTTATCCTCGAGGTGGACGCCTCGGACTCTGGTGTGGGTGCCGTGTTATCCCAACAACTCGACTCTGATCAAAGAATTCACCCCTGTGCATTTTTCTCCCGTAGACTCTCACCGGCGGAACAAAACTACGACGTTGGGGACCGAGAACTTCTGGCCATCAAACTCGCATTGGAGGAGTGGAGACACTGGCTCGAGGGAGCTGAACATCCAGTCTTAGTGTGGACTGATCACAAAAATCTTGCATACATCCAATCCACCAAACAAGCTAACCCTCGTCAGTTAAGGTGGTCTCTGTTTTTCTCTCGGTTCAACCTCATTATTTCTTATAGACCCGGATCCAAGAACATCAAACCCGATTCTCTCTCTCGTCTATACTCTGTTGATCAATCCTAAATGCCTGAACCCGTTCTTCCGGCTTCCTGTACTGTTGGAGTGGTTTCCTGGGAGATCTCCGATCTCATAAACTCTGCCCTGGCTTCTGAACCTGACCCAGGTAACGGTCCTCCTAACAGAACCTATGTCCCTTCATCTGTCAGATCCCGCCTGATTCAATGGATGCACACAGCCAAGTTTTCCGCTCACCCGGGGGTGAGCCGTACAATCGCCTTGATTTCTAGACGTTTCTGGTGGCCTACGTTGCACAAGGATGTGAAGGAGTATGTTTTGGCCTGCTCCATATGCGCCAGAAACAAGACCTCACATCAACCACCCTCTGGCCTGTTGCATCCTCTTCCTGTTCCAACTCGTCCCTGGTCTCACATCGCCATCGATTTTGTCACTGGTCTCCCTATCTCCAGAGGTATGTCAACTATTTTTACCATCGTCGACCGATTTTCGAAGTCATGTCATCTGATCCCCCTCAGGAAACTTCCCACCACCTTTCAAACTGCCCAGCTCCTAGTGAAGCAAGTTTTCCGTCTCCATGGAATACCCCAGGAAATTCTCTCTGACCGCGGACCACAGTTTATCTCCCAAGTCTGGAAGGCCTTCTGCGCAGCTCTGAATTGTAAGTCATCACTTACTTCTGGTTATCATCCACAGTCCAACGGTCAGACAAAGAGAATGAACCAACAGCTCGAATCGACTCTCCGCTGTCTGGCCTCCAACAACCCCACTGACTGGAGTCAATACCTCACATGGATCGAATATGCCCACAACTCCCTCAAGTCTGCTTCCACCGGTCAATCACCATTCCAGGTTAGTCTCGGATATCAACCTCCTCTTTTTCCAGCAGACGAGAGAGAGATTTCGGTTCAATCTGTCAATCACCACATCCGCCGCTGTCAACGAGTCTGGGGGGACACCATCGCCTCTCTCAACCGATCTTCTGTGACTACCAAGCGCTTTGCGGACTCCAAGAGACGCCCTGGCCCAGAGTACGTCATTGGGCAGGAGGTATGGCTTTCCACTCGGGACATTCCCCTCAAGGGAATGTCTCGTAAGTTGTCTCCAAGATTCATTGGCCCATACAAGATTGCCCAGATTATTAACCCTTCTGCCGTACGCCTGCACCTTCCTTCGAGTCTCCACATACATCCCACGTTCCATGTCTCCCAGATAAAACCAGTTGTCACCAGTCCTTTGCAACCTGAGCCTAGTAAACCTGAGAATCTTTGCTATCTCCAGTTGAGATAAGATTCTAACTCTTCCTTGTTTTTGCCTCACAGGAATCCTGTCTCTTCGTGAAGCTCTGGATGAGCTTAACCTGCCTAGCCTGCCCTCGTGAGCCAAACCTGAAGACTCTTCTCTGGATTCCCTTGCAGCTCTTGGCTAAGAGCTGGAAACCCAAATCAAGGTCTGCCCTCAAAGTCAGAAGTAAGACGCTGAAGCAGTTATTGGACTCTGCTGAACAAACAGTCTCTGGACCCAACAGTTTCCTCTCTCAAAGAGAAACCCGGACTCCTTCAAGGTATTCATCAGCAAACTCAAAGACTAATAACTCATCAGTCCACATGCTAACTGAACTGTCATCCCTGCAGACTCCAGTGAACCTGCCCCCAGGCCCGAACCAGTACCTTTGCAATATTCATGTGCTTGTGTTAACAATAAACCTTGTTAAACTTTTCATCAGCCTCCGTGTGTTCTGCATATTGGGTTTACTCTGTAACCAATCATGACAATAATAGAACATGGGTGATGACCTAAAACCTAAATCATATACAAGTCTTTTACCCTAAATCCAATGCAGATAAAAATAAGAATCTGATTAAGCTTCCAATTTAAAAGCAATACTCCTTACACAAAAAAAGCTCTAATCTTCAGTTGACTTTCTACTGATATAAAGGTCTTGGAAATACACACAAAAACCTTTATACAGACAATATGAGGCATGAATACTTACTTGTGTACGCACTTTATAGTTAACCTCATAATTATCAGATATTCACCAAAAATTTTAATCAAAGCTACTGTCTGATAGTCTTTAAATGAAAGAACCTGGACTCAAAGCTCCCTGTGATGTTCGAGGCAGACATTGTTTTCTTGCTGACATATCGCGTTAAGGATGGATAATGACAAGCAGGAGTGTTTTGCCCATTTCGTAGAGGCCCCTCATTTCTCTCTCTGTGTCTTTTAATCAAACTTCCTCAGAGGAGACATGAGGAGTAAATCTTTGGTAGTGTGTTGCAAAACATTGTTTATCCCCAGAGGAAAACTGATGAGAGGGTCATGTTCTGCTTTCATGTCTACTCAGATTTACATCCACATCTCCATGACGACTTAAAAAGATATCCTTGTTCTTGAAAATGTTCAGGTAGTTTGCATCTGTGTCTTCTTACCTTCAGCTGTTCCAGGTCAGGTCTCTCCATGCTGACCACTGCTGCCAGCAGCTGGTCCTCCAGACCATCTCTGGTCACTGTGAAATTGATCAGGGTACACTGTGCCTGCAGCTCCGGCTGGTAATGAGGGTTTGCCAGCTTGGTGTGTAAGATGAGGCGGAAACTGGGGTGGTACTCGCATTCCTTGTCTCCAATCTTTATATACCTGGAATATTTCATCACCAAAGAACATTTGCAAAACATCTTTCATTTATAACGTTGCTCTCTTTTCTGTAAAGTTGTCCTGTTTTCATATATTAATTTACAAGAATAAATGTGACACTGAATAATTTGATACACAGTGAGGATTAGGGTGTAGATATTTTGTCTACATTAGTGCAAAGAAGACAACTAAAAAATCATGCATATCTCCAAACGAGACTATTTTTCTATAATCTTTAATACGATCACTTATACTCGTCCTTTTTAGCGTACTAATGAGCTCAGCCAGGTGCAGCTATATCAGAGATTAATTGAGCTGCAGGTATGACTATGTCTATGCATGTTTTCAAAACCAAAACAAGGCTTTTTTGGGCTACTGTATAAAACCTTGAGCTCAATGCTATGGGACAGAAGGATGCATAAAAAGACCAGATCAGCAGTAACCTTAAAGAATCAGATTTTACTGCCCATCGATCTGGGAACGTATAAATAGACAAATCGAAACAAAGTGCATTCTTTCACTTTCAAATATAAAGGAATAGCTCTAAATAAAATAAAAAACTAATCAATGTTTCTAGCAGTAAACAATGTGCCAAGTTCACCTTAAAATGACAAAAAAGCAAAAATAATTTTTTTTTGTGTTCACAAACACACAAGAAGTCATTTTTACTCATTTTCACCTGTTTGCTTAATTGTTCCAGTATGATGGTTAAAGGCGGGACATACAGCTGTGACAAAAGCAAAAGGTGCAGAGCCAACAGTAGAAACGAAAGAAACATGGCAGCCATGCCGCTATCGCATTTGTTTTTTGGTTCTGTTTTTTTTTTTTTTTTTTTCCAGAATCCACAGCAAGAGTGTAAAAGTGTAAGTTAATGTGGTTTCTCGTGGCATCCGCAACCATTCCATTTGTGACCATGATTGGCTAAATCAAGATTTTGTGTCACTTTGCCTCAACAGTTCAGAACATTCCGCTGAATGTGCCTCCGTGAAAAAGTGAAATTCTGCATTGTTATGGATCTGTTTTCGCAGATTTTACCAGTTCTCCCTGTTTGACATTTTTGTACAGTTAATCAAACACATTAGTGACAGAACAGTTAAGAATTTCTGTCTCTAAGTCTCACCTGCCCTTCTTGATGGTTTCTCTGCTGAGCAAAGGCCCAAGAACAGGATCCACCGTTTCCGCCAGGTTTTCTATCAGAACCACATCACCAGCTCCCAGCGCTCTCTCCAAACAATCAAGATACCTTAAAGATTAACAATATACATTTGCAGAAAATATATCACCTAGTATATTACAATGACCTTGTTTCCAACAAAACTCCCGTACCCTCGTTGTTCTATGCGTATCACCCGCAGGTCATCACCATATTTGTTTTTGATCCACTTGATGCCCTGCAGCTGTGGGTCCACTATGAGTGGCCAACGCTGGCAGGAAGTTAGAATGGTAGCATTTTCTGTGGACATCCTGTCAGCTGGCAGGCCCTCATTCTGCCATGCAGCAATGCCAGCATCATCAGTGAGCATGGTCAAAGGGTCCAGGTCTGCAGTCACTGGGATGGGAACCTAATAACAAAATAAATTGCTGCTATTGAATCTAGATAGAATTTTGCAATAGTTTTAAATATAAACTTTGGCAAAGATTTAGAGTTTTTACTCCTTTTTTCCCCCAGAAAAGTAAGTTCAGAATGGGTATATAAGTTGCAGATTAAAGGAATAGTACACCCAAAACATGATTAGCCTTCATTTTCTACTCACCCCCATGCTGAACAACACCCTGGAGTACTTTTTTGATATCTCAAATGCATCTGGAGATCTGGGAGGCTTCTTGCTGTCTGCTGACATTCAAATAATGGAGGTCTATGGTGCCCGAGACAGAAAGGTCCATAAAAGTCCACAAAAAACGTGTCAATATTCCTCCATACTGCTCGTCCAATGTATTCCAAGTGTCCTGAGTGGGTAGCATCCAGAATTTACTCGAAACGAAGTCATTTAGAATGTTTTTAGAGCATAAACAGTAGTGTATAGGATTTCCTGAAAGCGCACACCTGCGCGATCACGACGCTACGGAAGCCGGCAGACCAAACCAGATGAAAGTGCGCATTCAGCGTGTGCTCTGCCAATAATGCAAGCGTAGAAGAAGAAATGTGCCGTTTACCTGTGCAAAGAGAGAAACAACGAAAGAAAAATGTCTGAGGACTTCAGTGTTGAGGAAGAGCATGAGTTCTTTGCCGAGCTGAATGCGCTGGTTTGGTCTGCCGGCTTCCGTAGCGTCGTGATCGCGCATGTGCGCACTTTCAGGAAATCCTATACACTACTGTTTATGCACTAAAAACATTCTAAATGACTTAGTTTCGAGTAAATTCTGGACGCTACCCACTCATGACACTTGGAATACATTGGACGAGCAGTATGGAGGAATATTGACACGTTTATTGTGGACTTTTATGGACCTTTCTGCCTCGGGCACCATGGACCTCCATTATTTGAATGTCAGCAGACAGCAAGAAGCCTCCCAGATCTCCAGATGCATTTGAGATATCAAAAAAGTACTCCAGAGTGTTGTTCAGCATGGGGGTGAGTAGAAAATGAAGGCTAATCATGTTTTGGGTGTACTATTCCTTTAAGGCACTGAGTCATTTCATATTCAGTTTTTAAAAGTGATAAAATTACGTTTTTAAACTTTTATTTAGATTGGTCTTTGACACAGTCAATATCAGTACGTTGTAAGCGGTTACACTTAACAATAAGGAACACAAAATTTGGTTAAGTACTAGAGAGCGCCTAGAGAACTGATAAGTAACTAATGGGTAGTTAATTGGTACTTACTGGGGCCAACCCAGCCAAGACTTATTATGGGATTACTGCTTAGTTACCTGGGAAACACAGAGTAACTAAGTACAACCTAAAGTGTGGTTACTAGGGAAACAAAAATTGACTAATCAGGAACTACTAGGTAGTTACCAAAGAGACAAATGTGCTTTTTCTCAATATGCGTTCTTGAGTTATCTCATGTGCTCGTGTACTCGTGAAACGTCATCAGCCTCAACCTGAGCACTGTTCCAATTGCCGAGAACGCAAGATCGGGAACGCACCAAATCCCCGGATATTGTTCTCGCCCCGCCCTCTTTATCGAGTATGCCTCAGAGCAGACTTGTTCGTTCTTGAGATTAATAGCTGTCCCAGCATGCACTGCGGCAGCAGCAGCTTTCAATGGAGTGCTCCATTGAAAGTTAAAAATTCTCTTTCTGGTGCTTCTGTTCCAATTGACTCATATCTATGCTGTGTGCTCCCGTTCTCATCAACTCCTGACTTTCCTATGTTCTTGCCAAGACCCGAGTTGATGAGAAGGCGAGTACGTACTCGTGTTCTCGTGAATTGAGAAAAAGCCATGATTAATTTATCAGGAACTAAACGGTTGTAACCAAGGCAACAAGAGTAAGTAATTATAAACTAATGGGTAGTTGCCAAAGAAACAAAGTGTAACTACTCAGAAAATAATGTGTAGTTACAAAGGAATCAAAGAGTAACTAATCAGAAACTAAGGTATTTACCAAGGAAACAAAACAAGAACTAAAACATAAGTAAATGGTAGTTACCAGGGGGGAAAAGAGTAACTAATCATGAACTCAGAGGTAGTTACCATGGAAAAGAAGTGTAACTAATCAGGAATTAATTGATTCATTCTCAGCGTGAGTCCTGAATAAACCCTAAACCTGGGAAGTCACAGCAAATCTTTAATTATTTTGTGGACTTTCTTGAGAAAAGCATGATATTATGTAGTTACACATATATATATATATATATATATATATATATATATATATATATATATATATATATATATATATATATATATATATATATATATATATATATATAAGACTTTTACAAATTCATAACAGGTCTGGGCAGTAGAGTTCAAACGCTTCAGACAGATAAAAAAGGCACAAGCATGATTAATGCTTCCTCCAATAGTTTCAGCATAGAAATATTCCCTTGTATTCTTCAATTCGTAAGTGATATCTGCAAAACATTTCCGTTATTACTTCCTGACCAGTGGAGCATTTCTCCACAGAGAGTTCTCCTTCAACCTTCACCTTAATAAGAGCAATGGCATAAATAATGTCTGGAGTTTTAAAGTAGAAATTAGAAGCTCATTTACTGAGTTACAGCACAAAGCGAAGTGGAAGAGTTCACATAGTTAGACTTCACATGAACTGTCCTTGAAAACAAAATAAATTATTATAGTGCCTCTCTGGCTTAATGAATAGAGGGATGTGACATTGTCATAGAGCCTGGAAGTATTTTGATGAACTCTTAATGAAAAAGTATGAGCCTATATGTGTTTCAGGTGTCTAACATGCTGAGTCAAACCAAAATGTTTAAGGGGGTAACACTGGTCTCCTCCCCACTTGGGCCATGTGAACATGGATGCTTAAGACTCAATGTAATCCACGGATATGAAAAACAGAAGGTCATTGCAATTCTAGAAAAAAATGACATTCGGTTCCTGAGGTCTGCAATGGTTCAAGAAAGGCCCTTTACCTGGGTGGAGAGGTTTTCAAAAGTCAAGTTTAATGATAAAGTCACATCGGGAAAAGAAAGTTTTGCGTCTTCTTAAGGGTGGTGGTGTTCATTCACTGTTTATTCACTGTTTATTTGTTGAATTTAAGGGTCATTGTTAGCTTCAAGAGTTTTTGGGGAAAATGCAGGATAGATCTTGAACGGGTCACCAGTCACGGGGTAAACAATCACACACACCCCGACACACACACAGAAGTTCGATTTGATTGAAGTTATATTGTGTTTTTTATGTTTTCCCTTTATTTTTTTAATCAGTGTACTTTTTCCATTAGAAATAAATCGGCTTCTAATGTCTCTGGCTGTCCCCTAAGAAGAGTTTAACAGAAAAGCAAAGAAACTGCTCAACATCCTGAAGTACTTTATAGTTCTAACTTCTGTACTTTTTGGCTGGGAGATAAGAAGCTAGGAGTAAAAGAACTTTCCATAACATGGAGGCCTTAACTTTGTTTTTACAATATGCAGCAAAAAAAAATAAAATAAAAAATACATCAATACATTTTAACAAATTATTGTGCAAGCTGTAAGACTGACTGAAGAAAAACAACCAAGAAGAAATTTCACATTATAAACTTAGATATATTTGTAAGATTAAACAAAACAGGAACCTATTTAGTAACTAAATAAAAAGGCTGAAAAACATTTGGGAATCATGTTTATTTTGTTCATTTTTCAATGGAGAAGTAAAACTTTAATTTAAAGAGAGGGTATGTCGCTTAGACGCATTTAGACTATTTGCCACTTTGTTTTAATGAAGTGGACGTTATCTGCTCTCTATTTTTTTTTTATCCACTCATTAGAGCTCTGAGAGACTTAGTGCAGTTAGCAGCGCCTTTAAACTTGTGGTTTAAACAGACATTAAACAGCATAAATAATCCCGGATTGGACTCTAAAGAGATTCATGGATGCCTCTGATATGGCATTACTTGTCTTGCAAACACCAGTGAAGCCCAGTTTGAGAATGAGGAGTTGCGCCCTCTATTGGGTAGCTATAACACTGTCTCCTTGGCGATTTTTCAAAATTAACCATCCCATTCAAATTCAGGAATCCTCCACTCATTTCCTTCAGAATAGGAAATCACAAAATACATGTTACATAACCTATTGGATAGACCTAATCTGAAATTAAATAGAAATTGAAAAACATAATGTTCAGACTAAGAACAATATGTCTTTCTTTCCAGAAAATTGGAATCCTTTCATATCCTTTCTTAATTTAACCATAATATAACTTTTAAACCCTTTATATTCCAAAAACCAAACTATTTATTTGCTATTTTTCATTTTATTCTTCTTCCCTCCCCCATAATTCCGGCTCCCAACACATCTACATGTAAAACTGTAAATAGTTTGTGTGGTTGTAATTAGCATTTCCAAGTATGACAACTACTTAGAAAGTACATAGCACATACAGTATTATAATCATTTATAATATGATGGTAACATTTTCTGGTTGTCTCCCCTGTTTTTCTTCATATGTTATTGTTTTGAATCGTTTCTTGTCTCTTCTGTTTTCTCTAGTGCAGAGGTCTTCAACAGGGGGTCCATGGAGGTACTGCATGAGGTCGCGAAAGTTTTGGTTGATTAGACTTTTCTTTTTTATATTCCCCCAAGCAGTTTATTCCACTAATTGAAATGTCTTTAAATACACATTAACATGACTTCAACACACTGTAGTAAACAGATAAAAGGAGGCAGAAGATGTCTTTCAGTCATCAATGCACACATTCAGCAACACACAGGAGCTCTTTCAAGCTGGGCACCGTTTCATTCACACCTGTCCCATCAACCAGGAATAGGAAACAGAAATTTTTTAATAATCCCAGGGTGAATTTACTTTCGTTACATTAATCTATCTGTAATAGAGTTACTATAGGATCAGTTTGATATAACCCAATATATATAATTAGGGGGCCCACGCTCCACCTTAAGTTTGGGGGTCCTTGGCCTGGAAAACAATGCAGACCCCTTCACTAGTGGTTTATGCATTGTTTTGTTTTACTAAACCCCCCTTTAAAATAAGTTCCTATGTTTGTGTTTTTGTTAAAATATATAATCATGTTAAAATTATATCAAATAAGAATAAATTTGACCTCAGGAGAGAGGTTAAGGTAGTGGGAAAAATTTTTTTTCATGCAAATACATTACAGTATATCCACTTATCTTCTGATAAAAGTTCTGTATAGTATCTACATATGGAAAGCACAGACCTTGAGCTGACTGAGGTAAGGCCTCCAGCAGTTCTCCATCAGATGCTGCCTGTAGCCTTTGGTAAAGTATCCCAGGTAGGAGATGAAGGCAGTGATGAGGAGGACATCCCCACATAATGTCCTCTCCTGTTTTTTAAAGTTTTCTATGGCTTCTGCCCATCGAACGTTTTCAGCTGCAAGACCACCCACCTGGAATAAAAGTACACAATAGAAAATGTATATAGTTTTTCTCCAACTGAATCTTCTCCTTCCTCAGCATATCCCCTAAAGAGATTCTGTAAAATCCAAACTAAATTAATCGATTGATGCTGCTGCCAATGCACCTACCCACGAATAACCTAACACAATTATGATTTGCAACCTCCTAGTCCCTTTTTATTAGAATTTCATCTCCTTTATAATGTCTCAGCTCATGTTCCAACACCTACACTCTTTACCGCTGCAATGATCCAATTTCCCCAAACTGATGAATACAGCTCACGCTAATATCTTATCTCTTCCAAACTTACGAGGCCACACGCTTTCACACATATACTGTAAAGTCAGCACCCATTGCGGAAACAATGTGCACCTCGGAAGGCAGGCTGCATTTGCATTGATATTCTGGACTGACTAGCTGATTAGCACCACCTTTCCTCTTTTGTTGCTCCTGTCAGGCTTTTTCAAAGCTTTCTCTGAATAATTTAGATTACTGTACTAACACTGTCAACAGTCATCTTTTTGCTTTGCTGTTGTCAGCATTGGATCCACACAGAGCTGGATGATGGTGGGATTTATGTGAATATTGTGCCTGTGCTGGACTGTACATGCAGTTGAGATCAAGGGAGTGACTCTTGCAAGTTGCCTGCTTTTAAAAAAGTTCACCTGCAATGCTTAAACATACAGACATATCTAATGAACTCTTTATACTAATAGTCACTGTTTAATACTTGAAGTCAAAAAGTTATGGAAACATGATATGAGTTAGTCTGTCAAATAGGAAAGGAAATTCTCAAATATATTTGCATTAAGTACAACTAAATATATAGAGTTAATTGATTTTTACTAGAGGTACAAGGAAAAAAAAGGACACAGAGCCTAAGGTTTATGAGGCTAATTGTGTTTTGGAGCAAAGCATTTAGCCATCACTGGTCTGAATGATTGGGCTTGTGTTTCTAACTCCAATACCTCACAAGTTTTTGGACTAAGTCACTCTTGTGCCCTTACAAAGCAGTCTGTTTACAGTAGTAGCCATTCAACGTTTCCCCACTTTCCTTGATGGGCCCTTAACTGGTCCTTGGCTAGTCCCCTACAATTCTTTTTTTTAACATCTAAAATATTCTGTCATGATTTGTGGACAATAAGATCTAAAGAGAAGCTTTAATCCTTGGTCATAGCCTGTAATTCAGTGAAAGGGTGGAGTCAGAGTTAAAAAAAAAATGCACGTCCAAAAGAAGGCCAGTGCCTAGAAGCTAGAGGGTATTTTGCTGCCATTTGGCTGGCTTTTGACTGAGAAGGACAATTTTGAATGGCTGCTACTGTATATGCTAGCTCTCACACATACAAAGTTACTGTAATATGGTAGTAGTCATGATGGAAAGAAAACGAATCATGAATTCATGAGTCGTTTCTTTGTGAGGTGGCAACACTCATTATTCAGTGTGAGAATCTCCAGCATCGATAAGGGACCTGGAGTGAAGCCAATACTTCTTTGCTTTGAAAGAAGTAAGGTGAGATGTTTCTTTCATGTGGTTAGAATGACTTTTGGATATTTCCAGAGTCCAAGACTTTGGTTCATGAAGAGAAAGGATGAAGCAGAACTACCTAAAGAAACCTCACAAGCAGAGTGAGGAGATGCACACCCTTTGCAGAAAGACCCATGGCTGAGAATAAAACGTTCTTGTGTTTTGTTAATGACTGCTTCACCATGCAGCCATTCCAGTCTTTCTAATTCACATTTTCTTTTTCTTTACAATACTGTCTACAGGGTATCATGTTTGGTTTATCTCCTGATTACTGAGGCAGAACCTCCCCCTGCCTTGACCTCCTTCAACCTTACTACCAAATATCTGCAGATAAAGCATAATATATAAGGCTATAAAAAGAAAAGGTTCGAGGATTACAGGAGTAAAATGCTGGATCAATGTGGCAGTTTCTTATTTCTACTTAAAGACGGTCAGCAGGATTTGACTCAACTATTAAGGGAATTGATAGATAAATGAGTCACTACCTCATCACTTGTGAATTAACAGTCTCCATGTTGAAGCTAGGTTCTGTTTTTAAAGAATGTGTGAAGAAATGACAGTGTTTGGACAGATTTCTTGGAGTAAGGTCAGTATTTGCATGTGGAGAAATGTAACAGGGACATAAAGTCTAATTGTGAAAGGACAGAGTATCGTTATGTTTTCATGGTTTAAAAGATTTTAATATCATAAAAAAGTTCAACATTACTTCTCACTCATTGCCGAAAGTTAAACTCAAATCTTATATGAACTAATTACACATAGCGTAAAACATTTTAAGCTGTAATTATTATAATTTTGTTGATTATGGCTTATAGATATTGAAGACATTAAAATCAGTGACTATAAAATGTTGAATATATGATGAATAATAATAAAATACATTTTAAACTCAAATGTAAAGTTTCTGAGGGTATTTTTTCTTATTTTTTGTACTCTATGCTTGGTCGGGCCTACTTTTTAATGAATTACAGGATCAATGTAGCTTAAAATGGAAGCGGTATCACTGCTGAATGGTAATATCAGCCCAGGCTGCCTTGATACCAGCCTTCTGGTCATCTTTTTTTTGTGTTTGTTGTCTTTTCTCCTACTCTTGACATTGTGCATGAACGCGTTCAATGAAGGGGGTTCACTGAATACGCTCATATTTTTAGTGAACGGTGAACTGAATGGGTCCATTTTGAATTAACGAACGTGAACGAGAGCAACGTTCTCTCTGAGAAAAATGAGCGACACACACAGCTAACGTTCGCATTTGAATGATAACAACACTTTTCATTAGAGACCGTCATGTTTAACGGCACTTATTACGACAAACAGGATGACAGACCCGCATGTCTACTGCTAGTACTAGTCTGCACCATTCAGACTCATCTACTGGTATATCAGTTGCCATATTTTGCATTTTGAATACATTTGCATTTTGGCTACTTCTTAGCCCAGGTGAGAGTCTTTTGAGGTCCATGGCTCAACAGTAGCTTAATGCAGAATGTGGCGTTTGGACCCCATTTGTGGGGAATTTGCTGCAAATAGTGGCTCTTATTGAGCTAGTTCCCCTAAGTTCATACCTAGTGAAGCTCTCATTAACATTCAAATGCAATAAAACACAGATTTTTTTTTTGCTTTTATTGTCAGTAACATGCTCTGAATTACTAAAATATGTAATCAAATATTGCATTCTAAATGTATTAGATTTATATAATACATAAGAAACATTTTCTGCAATAAGAGAGAAAAAGAATACGAGTTAATTATTTTTCAAGTTTGTACATTATATTTTAGACTAACTTAACTACAAAAAAGGCTGACTCATAACCTTGAAACACTTGTCATTCATTTAAACCATAATATTCAAGTTCATAAAAACGATATGACCTTATAGGATGAGGATGAGGATACACTGAACAGGGCCTTGAAAAAAATCCTGAAACACTAAATGGATATTTTATCGATTACAACAATAGTCTTTAATGTATTTTAGTATGAATTTATGTAAAAGACAGACGCAAAGTTGTGTGCAGCATTAATGAAGCACAAAAATGATAAATATTTGCAAAAATTCTTTACAATAGTCCTTTGAAAAGTATTCTAAGGAATGTATTCCTTTTTAACCTTAAAGAGCCAATGAAAATTGTGTTCAACTAAATGTCTCTAGAAGTAATCATATTAGTAAATACAGTCCTATTGTGTTTAATTGTAAGGCAATCTTTATACAGCATTTGTTTATTTTAACCAATGAATATCAAGTAAAGAAGATAAATAACATAGTCCTCCTTACCAAGCGGTTGGCCAGTGAAATAGTGCGCGCCGTTGACTCTGCTTCCTGTTGGCACTTGACTTTTTCAGCTGTTGCTTTTTCAAACTTTGCAGTGAGCTTGGCCAGGTTCTCATTGAGGCGCTTAAAAGACAGAGCAGACACACACGTTTAAGAGATATAAGAATGATATATGACACTTATTCTTGAAGACATGTAAAATGTAGATTAGAAGCTCATGAAAGAAACTCTTGGGGGTTTGTGGGGAAAAGTTGAGTAAAACTTTCCTCCTTTTTGCATTTATTTGGCAAATGAAAGCAATTAGCACAAGGACAAACAGGATTAATCAGTGAAAGGCACACAGGTTCAGTAGATTAGCTTGAGGGTTTCTAATTCCCCTTGGCTGCAAAAATGACTCTCTGCTCAGGCGATCTTACTGAAGGCTGCAAAATGACAGTGAGAAGTCATGCTGCATCATATTAACTACCAACACTACCAACACGCTACACTCCGCAGGTTTTGATGTAAGCAGCCACATCTGCTACAGTGGCTGAGACCTTACTCTCAGCCTGGGCTCTCTGGACCTCTCATGAGCTGAATGTCAAATGCCATTGAACGACAATTATTTACAGCTGCTTTCATCAATGAGGGGAAGGGGGGGTAGTTTTAGATTAATGAACAGTAAAGGCCTTTTAAAGCACTTAGAGCAGCTCTGTATTGATGGAAAGCTGCTGGTAAATAATTACTCCAAGAGCTGGTATGTCAACTGTCACTCAAAGGGTGATAAAATAATTCATATCCTGGGTCTCTGCTTAAGCTCATACAGCCTGTGGTTGTTTCCATTTTATCTTTGTGCCATCCGATTCTTAATATACCCACTACCTCTAGGGTTTGATGGAGCTGCTGCTCCTCACTGATGTCTCACAACTCAGGCAGCAATGTCTACGTTTCACCGTCGTTTTTCAACTCTCAGTCAGCCCTAAACTAAACCTTATAGAGATTTTAAGTGCCTGTCACTGAATATCGACTCATAGAAATTATGATATTGAAAACACAAGCAAAGGGATCCCTTTAAGGATCACAGCAGCAATGTTCAACCATTAATACTAAAACTTTCTTCAAACTTTCTATTGACTGATTTTGATTTAAAAAACACATTACTCATTTTTTGTGATTTCTTAGCATTTACTTCTTCAATTATATATTCAAACACACACATATACATACACACACACACACACATATATATATATATATATATATATATATATATATATATATATATCTGTATAAACAAGTGATAGAAATAAAGAATAGAGGCTAGAAAGGGTTGTCACTAACATAAGTTGAAAGACATTGTTATGATCGTAACAAGAAACATTTATATAGGCTGTTTAATTTTTGATATATTTGACAGAACTGCCTTAATCTTGCTCGGATGCAAAGAAAAAAGGAACTTCTTGAAAGAACTCTCTTCCTGCCTACCTGAGGCCTGTGATCTTTTGGTGTTCGTGATCACATGGCTGAGGAACTCATTTTAAGCTTCAAACACTCTAACAACTATCCCAGTCTTCAACCCTAAGGTGGGAAACTGGGCCCAACCACTGATGGAGTCATTTTAGTGTACAGCAGACTTTCCAAAGTGTAGTTGACTTCAAGTGTATCAGAAAAGGAGTAACAACTCAGCTGGAAACCCCTTGATGCCATACGGATCCAGATAAAACTTCATCACAGCTCATGGTTCCCGTTTTGGATGCGTACATCCAACTGGAAACTGGTGATCATATAGGGGAAGTGCAAAGGTCTGAAACTTGTTGGTGAGTCAAATCTTAAAACTTGGATCTGATAGTTTAGTTTTGATTAGCTAGACAGCACATTAATTAGTCAAGAAGTCAGAAATAGAGACAAGTAATCTAACATTTATTTCGGTGCCCTGCAGGAGATAATAAGTACCAACATTTTCCCAGAAAATTGGGCTCTAAAGATATCATAATCCAATCTAAGCCAGTTTACCTGCAATATTTGCCCAAATACAATTTTTTGTTCTAAATAAGCTTTAAGCTCTTTTGGCCTGATTTCAAATTCTTCAAAATAAATTATCCTAAAAGTGAAAATTCAAACTGAACTGTGATATAATCTCATTGTTTCAATGGTAACGGTTTTCAAATACTTATGTGTCCCCCTTTCATATATTTTGTTAGGTTCTTCTTAAATTACATAATTTTCTCTGAGCAAACAGCTTAATTTACTAGCCTAGTTAAAGAGCTCAATAAATATCTTAAAGTTAACTTATTGCCATAAAAAAAATCATTTTTTGCTGTTAAGGAAGCTAGTGCTCACTTTACTGTTTCTAAAAACGTTGCCAAAGTAGGCTGGTATTCCCAGAATAAAGCGATATTTAACTGAATGTTGAATAACTTTAATGCATTTACGTGCAAAACACATGCCTGAAGTAAGTAGGCTACACAAGGGTAGCCAGAACAAAAAGATCAACAAGGGAAATACAAGGGTAGACATAAAGAGAGAAGGCCAGGGTCATAGGTAAAGAAAAAGTAAAGATGAGAATAAAGAAAACGAGTAAGAAAGGAAAGAAAAAACAAAAGAAGAGATGGAAGGAGGGGTACGAGGAATAAATGAGGAGATGAACTAAAGAACAAGGACAAAAGGAGGAAGTAATCAAGGAAAGGCCAGAAATGGAACAAACTATCAAAATAAAAACTTTCCCTTTCACTTTAATATTTTCTTTTTTTAGCCTATCCAAACTTGGGATATACTTTGATCAAATTCCATATGTTTCTAGCCTGTGTAGAAATGCTTAAAATCAACCTTTCATTCCACGCATTAATCCAACTTACATTGATTTTGCTCTTGATGGCAGTAAGCTTCTCTTGTGCGGCAGCCAATTCAGCGTTGGCTTTGCTTAGAGCCTGGCGCTTGGGTTCCACGTCACAGTAAACCTCGTAGTATCTGACAATGTTTATCACCCAGGAACACAAACCGGCTGCTGCGGAGGATTTGGAAGCCACCAGGTGTGGCTGAAACTCTGGATCCTGGACAGCAAAAATAGATGAACATAAAATGTTTTAGAACATACAAAACAGTACCTTGCAATGGGAAATTTGTTGCATAGGCTCAATTATACACCTCAATATAGATGGTGAATGGGTAAATTGGGGTAAGTTTGGGTAAGTTAGAATTCTACAGAAATAATCATATGCAGAGTAGATTTCTCTTTCACATGTGCCTACACACATCTTTAATTATACTGGTATTACCCATAAACATGACCAAAACCAGGGAAAAAATATGCACAACCCATGTAGAGTGGCTAAGAGTACCCCTACTACCCTTCTACAATTTCATATATTTTTCTTAGGAAACCAGTTTGAGCCTTTTTTAACTAACCCCATGTTTGGACATTACTTTAATTCAATGCCTTGTTGCACGGTTTCACGCAATTAATCAAAATGCACATTTATTTTGTTTGTTTGAATGCTTCATATTTTAAAATTTAGAACATACCTGTAATTATATACTTCCTGTCGCAAAACAAAAGGTTTTTGTAGGCTTTCTGTTTCTTAAGAACATCATAGCACTGAAAAAGCTTTGGTGAAAGTCACTAAGGATATTCTCATAGCCACAGATATCTGTACTTGTCCTGTTAGGTTTCAGTGCTGCATTTGACACAGAAGATCATAATATTCTTTTAGAAAGACTTTAATATTTTACAGGAATTAAGGGAACAGCATTAGACTAGTTTACATCTTTTTTATCTGACAGATTTTAGTTTGTTCATGTTAATAATTAATCTTCCTCATGCTCCGGGGTTACCTGTGGAGTACCACAGGGATCAGTGCCAGGGCAAATTCATTAGGGTCATGGCCTATCTCTAGCAGTCCATCGGTGGACAAAACTCATGCAAACATACCTTAAGGACAATATAGCCACCAAATAACCTTATATTCATGTGTTTGAACTGTTGGAGTCAACTGGCTATAGGGGGACAACATCCAAACTTAGAAAAAACAGAAAGACTCTGGGTTTGGGATTAAATCCAGGACCTTCTAAAGGGAGCAGTGCTGCAAACTTTGCCAGCAAGCAAATCAATACTAGACCTTGGTTACAAAAATAAATACAGTCATGTGACAATTTGTACTTTGTGTTGGCATGAGACTTTTGGAAGTATTTTTCCAGATCTTTCAGATTTTTATTTTCTTTTGTATGTATTTTGAGCATTTCTTTGTCTTTCTGTAATAAGTGTATTTTTGCTATGCATGTCCCCCTTTTTGTTCATACTATGTTCAGGTTTTTCCTTCTATTTTTATAGTTTTTACTATAGCAATTAAAACAAATGAAGGCACAGCTTATGGTTACCTCTATGGTGATTGACTTGACTACTTTGATGTGCACAAGGAGTTGACTGACAGTGTCACAACAAATTGACGCTCATACTATCTTTTAGCTTAATATAGAGCAAACCAACTCCAGCATGCTGCAACTAATCTATTAATATGAATGAATTCATGCAGTGCAGATATGTGATGAAGTAAAGGTGACATTTAAATGCTAGTATAAGAGGGGTAGGCTTGGTAAGAATTCTGTTGGGACTTTGGAGGAAGTGTGACTTGGGTGCTCATTAAGACTACATTCAGCAAATTCTACTGCTGCTAGATTAATTGAAAATATGTCCCGAAGGGGCTTTAGATGTCAAGCAAATATGGCATATAAAATATTCAATAACCCTTTAGATATCTGGCAGAACATTTTGATTGAAAGGTTAAAACAAGCTAACTGTGGCCAGGTCAGAAGCTTAACCTTTTAAAGCCTGGACCATGAAATAATTGACAGAAAAGTTTTATTTTTTTTTCGTTTAATTTTCTGACAAATTAAATAACAAACATGCATTTTGAATATATAAGTTCAATTAGATAAATGTTTTCATCGATTTTAATACATGAAGCATTTCTGTATAATCTTTAATACGTTTTCTGTTCAGGTGTCCTGACAGGTGTCTCGGTTTTCGAGAACAAAAATATCACACTGATGATGCAGAGGTCTCGAAAACTCATGTATCAAACATGATACACTTTTCTTTAAAGGGTTAAAGTAAAAAAAAAAAAAATGGGAAAACATAAAATATTCTGTTTATTTTTCTCTCTGGAAAAGAAAAATACTTTCAACAGAAACTAATCATTACAATTTTTTTATGTTTATTTAAATGATCAAACAAAAGGCAGGAGAAATGTCCTCAGTGAAATTTTTCTGGTAGTCATGTACCCGTTTCTGACATCAGTGTGAGGAATGTTTGCCCTAAACCTCATTTTCAATCAAAAGTGGCTTTAAAGGTATTTTTGTTATTCCCCCCCTTTCTGAATGCACCTCAGAGTAAGTTAAAGGAGTCATCACCTACAAATCTGACTTTTGATGTTAACATGTGTGTTTTGGACTTTTATTCAAAACTATTCACACTCTGGATTTTGCAGAGTGCTAAGTGGCTTCTTTTTTTTTTTTTAGGCTCGTTATGCAAATCAGAAATGCCCATAGAAGAGTGTGCTGCTAAAAGCGTGATTTTGACCGCCCTTCTTTATTAAGGTGGGAATATAAAGGGCGATATTCATCCTTCCTGGCTTTCCTCACTCCCATCTTTATTCCACCTTAAAGGGCGATTCCACCAGTCAGGGATTAAATTACAGGCAGTCAGTAAATGTAGCTGGTTGTGTAACATTTTACCTGGTATTCCAGCAATGTTAATGCTAACTTTGCTAATTCTACCTCCACATAAATGTGTACACACATACAAGTTCCTCACAAGAAAAAAAAGGCATATGAAATTGTGCCCTAAATTAGATAAAACATTAATTGAAAGTCGATTTCAAAAGGATTGTATAAGTAAAATGCAAATTTATGACTCCTTTAAAGATATAACTAATAACTAAACATGTTTCTTTAAGAAATAATCTAAGGAAATCACCAGGTAGTAAGGAAATAATCCTAATATAGGCCTAATTGAAGAATTTAGTTGTTCTGTTTTTTTCTTGAGTGTTATTCTTAAAAGTTAGATGTGATGTTAGTATGTAATGAACTGTATTGTGTCTGTAAAGTTATTTGAATAATACTTCTAGTTTTTAAATGTGAGGTAAGTCTGTTATTGGATGTGATGAACTCCTTTTAATTTTGTACTGATTAGTGTTTTGATAATGAGTATGGACTACAGGAGGAATAGTCCTTAGTTTGGTAGGCAATAACTGGAATAAAAACAAATGCATAAAAATGAAAAAATTTGTAGCCAAAAATTTCGATCTAGTCCTTGGTGTAAATGGAGGGTGTTTTTTTTCTTGTTTGTTTGTCTTTTTCATGTTGTAGCATCAAGTTCTGTCTCAGATTGTGGCTTCAATGGCCAGACATCGGTCTTCTGTCAGTTGGTTTAAATATGCTCCCCTTGTAAAGTGAAATGCTTAAAATTAACTTTCTAAAGCCTATGAAAATGACTTTCTTCCTCATCATATAATTCAACACTATTCTGCTGCTCAAAGCACTGAAAGCTTTTTTAGTCTTACTATTGTGTTCATAGCTAAATCAATTAATCAGATTAATCGGGATAAATCGATTGTTGAAATAGTCAACTAATTTAAGAATCGATTAATCGTTAACTGAAGTGTAGAAACTTTAAAACATGGCTTTAGGTAACAAAGCTACCAAAATCATAAAATAAATACATATTTTCATTTCAGATTAGATAACATTTTTGTCTGTCAATATGCTTCATCCAGAACGTTTTAGTTTCACCTGGTTTAATTCTGTAAGAAAATCTTCTTTAAGAAACCTTTTGCTGTCCGATTATTAATCGATGAATTGAAAAAAGAATCAATAGATTAATCAATTTGCAAAATAATCATGAGTTGCAGCCCTAATTGTAGTGACTAACTTTAACAGTCACTACAATCAAACCAAATGTCTGAAATTCAAACAGGGCAAACTCCCAATAGACTGCTGAGGAAGAATATTAAAATTATTCGAACTTGTGAACAAAAGTTTCGTGTTTTAATTAAATATAAGTTTTAGGATTGCCCATGTTTATTATTTACTAGAAACAGCACTTACTATTAAGTTTCAATTTAAGAGCATTTGGCATAAACATTTTGAAGAGACTCAAGTGTGAATGTTATGTACTGCACTGACATACCTCCTGTCTGCTTCATTGAACCTTATAATCAGGGCGGCTGTTAAATTCGTAACACTTAATTTACTTCTTGATTTTCCCTGGCTGTCATTTGAATGCTTGACAGCCATAATGCGCCAGTGTCATTATGATCAGCGTCCGGCTAAAATTAGGATTCATTAGTAGAACTTACAGCAGAGCGGCAGGCAACTCACCAGCCGGTAGGCGCCATTGAGGAATGCTCACCTGCAGGTAAGGTTGAATGGCCTTAAGGCAAGCCTCGGGGATGTTTTCTTTTTTGAAGTTTATCAGAGAGTCCAGGAATGTGTCCACCTTAGCCATCATCACCTTGGCTGCCTTCCAGGTACGATCCCTCGGGACTTTGCCTCTAGGTGCCGTCAAGACCATGACTGCGGCTGTAACATTGGTCACTGCTGCCACGGGAGAACCGAAGGACTTCAGCTCGGTTAAGTTTTTCTAAGAGGAAAATTGACAGAACATTGAAGGTAAAATGAGGAAATACATGATTTAATTAAGTTTAAGCAGCTGCACAATCTATCTGGTCTTCCGAGGGGGGAAAAGTAGGAAAAGGGAGGGGATTACAATAAAAGAAGAAGAACCTGTGCTGACTTTGATTCGACAGAGAATTCTAATTAAGGAATCTTGAGAGAGCCCTGAGCAGTGATTGAACTGTCTGTTCTGCTTGTTTGAACAGAGAGCACCTCTTAAACACAGAGGGTGTTTTTGAAATTCCCCATGCCAGTCCTTAAACCTGCATGGGATGCAAGGATAAAGCGAGAAGTCGACGAAACATAAAGACAACATTATTCTACCAAAGACCTGCCTAAACCCTGTGATTTAACTTATCTTTTCTTACCAGTCAAGTCCACAAAGGCTGGAAAATGTTTTTAAAAATTAGACAAAGAGCAAGGAAAATAACCCTTTTATATATTTAAACATAATTTACGAAACATATAAAAGTAGAAAGCAGAAGTGGAACTGACTTTATTTAGGGTGTTAAGGGCATCCTGAGCTGCTTGAAGAGCTGGTTCAGCTTTGGCTAAGTCCTCTTCACAGTCTTTCTGCTTGCCACCGACCACAACAGCAATAGCCGCAACTTTTCTCTCCTCTTCATCAGCCACAGCCTTCTCCTTTTTAACCTTCTCTGTTTCTATCCCAACCTCCTGAGGACAGGAAAAGAGGTTTAGTAAGAGAACTAGTAATCTTTTGGTCCATAATAGAAGAAAAAAAACAAACAGACGAGCAAAAAGACTAAACTTGATCAATTGGTTTGGAACTGGCATTAAAAATAAAGATACAACTCAGTTTACTATTGAACTAAGATGTAAGAAATCATAGCCCAAGATATATTTAAATTAGCAATAGATATTGTATTACGTGGATGAGCTTGTCGGCATTCTCATTCTTCTGCTTCAGCTCCACTTCTTGCTCAGCTAGCTTGGCCTTGAGATCATCCACCTATCAGAGAAGGAGAGTCAGGAGTTCAGGGGGGGAGAAACACAGCTAATGGTATAAACATGAGCTATTCCATTTAAGAGGACTACATAGTTGAAGGAAAGTTGGTTTGATGCAGTTCCTGTCAATGTTTAAGAGCAGATACATTAAACATGGACATGAATATCCTTTTCATTTAAAGCTTTCACTCTCTTGTCACAGTATGTTGTATCTCTAGTGTGTTTAAATGGTGATGGAAGAAGCATTGCCTTTGGTGAATGACAACCATTAACATCCAGCTGCAACAACTACATAAAGTCACCATCAACATATTCTTTGAAAATGTTCTCGATATACGCTACCAATTACTACCATACTTGCTATAGCTGTCACCTTTAATAATTTAGCTCTTACTCTTAAGCCTGACAGACCTGGTACTAAGCAAAGACTGCTTCACCCATACAGTATACATTTTGTGAAACTATGTCAAACATGCTTCAATTTTTTGTTTTTCTCAATCCCTCAAAGAGGGTAACACAGCCAACCAGATTGAGAACCTTCTAGGCTGATTGGGTGAAAAGACACATGGTACAACAACGTATGACTTTGCTGTTCCTCTTTTAAAGATAAAATTGTGAATACTGTACTGACAAAACAGAACTCCAGAAAATCCATCTAATTTCAAAAGCTTTAAATCAGCATTAGAAATTACTGTAGGTAAAGTACTCTAAACTAAATATTGTAATTATATAACCTTAAAAACGTTCAATGCACAAAGGCCTCAGGCTTATTCTGAACCCTTGATCTCCATGCCATGAGGCAGCAATGTTACAAACTGCACCACAACTGCATGTTGCTTTCCTGACTCTTCAACAGAATGTATACCTAACAGGGCTCCACAATATTTTGAATTGAAATTATTGAGTTCTTAACCTGAATAACAAGGACTAACATTAATGATAGTTTATAGATGAAAGGAAGTAATTTTGAACATGGCTCTGTTCTGCAAGATTCTCTTTTATGAATAGTTCAGCAGAGCATTTACAATGGAGAAAATCTTTTGCCACTTTTTATTAGTTATTTAAAACTGCATTTATCTCAGAATTCTGACTTTTTTCCTCAGAATTCTGACTTTAATCTGAGAATTCTGACTGAATTCTGACAGCTAACAAACATGTTAGCATCAAGCTGTAGCCTTGTTTTTTTTAGAGACTGGCTCTCTTTTTTTAATCACCTTCTGCTCTTCCTTTAGTGAAATAGCATCGATGAGGACTTAAAAAGTCGCCTAATTCTGTAATTTTCCACCATTGTGTTACTGGCCCTCCCAAACAACTCACATCTTTGTCAGTGAAGCTGAGTGCTCTCACATCTCTTCCTTCAGGGTGCCAATCTACATTAAGATCCAAAATTCTGAGATTAAAGTAAGAATTCTGAGAAAAAAAACTCATCATTCTGAGATTGTGAGCATTTAGAGAAAAAGTCTGAATTCTAAGATTAAAGTCAGAATTCTGAGATTAAAGTCAGAATTCTCACAGTTTTCCCATATTAAGTGGAAATAATATTTAAAAAACATGTTAACTTTTTTTTTCCAGTGGCCCTAAACCTCTTCCATATTTTTTTACCTCTACAGTTAAAGAAAAAAAAGAAACTAAAGTAACTCCTAGTGACCACAGTATAATGCAGAACTCCACAACTTCTCAATACCTATGTACTTTACAAAATCGTAATCTTCTAACCCTTTTAGCTACCATAGATCTATGATGCACTGCAAAAAGAGATGTTGGAGAATAAAACAAAACCTTGATGATTTGTTGAAACCCTTGCTGTGTTAATAAAAGCAGTATCTTTGCATCATAGAATGTTTGGTTTCTTAAAAACAACGATTTTCTGAAACCCAACCTAATCGGTTAATTTTTCTTTAGAAAATCAATAGCATGGTGAGTTCTAGGTCATCATATTTACATAACATCTTCCTTTACCTACAGTCTAATTAAATGATAGTTATGAGTAAAGATTCAGACATATTCATAGGGAGGATTTAAGGTATCTAAGGTTTTTCAGGTATCTCTACTTTAATAAGTATTTTTAAGACTTTTTTTTTTTTATTTTACTTCATACATTTTAACACAAATATCTTACTTTCTATTTCTTATCTTTGTTAAAAAAAAAAAGCCCTATGAACTACTTTGTCAGGAAAAATACTGCCACTGCTTTCTGTGCATAGACTCAGTATAACTTGATCTTTAATATTGGGGGTTTACTCAACAACACATAGCAAATAATAATCTATTTTGGGTATTTGTAGCAACCATCTTGTAGCTCATTGTAGCAAATGATTCTGTTATCTCATTTGAGCTCTCATGTGCTTTAGGGGTACTGATCGTTTATTGTGTGTGATTGTATCAGAGAGTACAACTGCTGACAAAGCTCAGCAGCCATTTAACTGAAATCTTAACATGTTCTTAGTTGTTCAAAGCCATGGATATGATTCTGTTACTGGGAAAGCCAACAAATAAGCCCCACAAAGTAGCCTAAACCTTTTTATGATTAGATTTTGTGCCATGCTGATTGGCCATGTGACCTTTAATCTATTATGTTGAGAAAATCTTTCCTTGTCAAAGCCGATAGAGCGACAGAAAAGATGAACGGAAAGGATTTCTGGGGGAAAAAAATAAGCTTTCGGATCAAGAGCTGTTATCAACACACACACATATACACCAACAGAGACCAAGGACGGTCATAAAGACAAATTAACTCTTCTACAAATTCCCTTTAACTCTCAAACAAATAGTGCTCTGCATCGGTGTCCAACTGCACGAGAATCGTTGCACTGGGGAAATAAAAACAAACTGTTTTTCCAGCTTGTCTTTCAGCTAATTAACCAACTGGAAATCAGGCCGGAGGGAAGACAGCCGTTTCGGCTCGCTACAGTTCCATGCAAAAGAATTGGTTGAATATTAGAACATCACCAAGTGAGCCATCAACATGATGAATAGGCAGTGGGGGAGAAAGGAAGGAGGAGGGCATGGGAACCAGGGACACACTAATTGGTGGAGGACATGGGTGATATACAGTATCTGAGCTGTTTCTGTGTTTATATGCTGCAGATGGAAATCTAAGCAGGGGAAAAAAAAAAAAACATGTCTCTCTGCTCCTGACAGTCTTTATGAGACAACCCACACTCAGTCCCTGCTGCTGTAAATGTAAATTGGAACAACTCTTTCTTAAGGCAAGATGTTTTGATACCACAGCAACAGCCAAAGTGTTTTTATCTATGTGTGAGATAGCTTACGGGCTTAAATTCAGAAGGGTTGGAGATTTGACTGAGCGCCTCGCATTGCATCTCTAACTTCATTCAGGAGACAAAGAAGCATCTACCCCTTCCTGTTTCTGAACAGGTTGGCTAAAGCCTTCCTCTGACTTATCCCCTGCAGGACTAGTCAGGACTGCTTTAGGTGCAGCATTGGGGTGCATATTTCTAGCCCAAATAGCCAGGACTGACACAGACTCCTGCATAGGTGTAACCATTTTAGAAAAACCGAGCGAAGGTCCTGTTGTCTCCAATTTATGTTTGTTTTGTGGCTGCCATGACCTGGATGATAGAATTTGTATGTACACAAATTATCACAGTGATGTTTGCAAGGGGGCTTATGGGGCTTCTAGAGAGTCAGATTAATTCAGTTCAAATTACACAGTAGAAAAAAAGCCTTGGTCATTTGGCACTTGAACTTGGTCAGAGTTCATCTGCTTCCACACACATCTGATTCTTAAAGGGATAGTTCACCATTTGTATGTGAGATGTGGGGTGTGTTCGATTTCAGAGGCTGCATCCTCCAAGGATGGGGTCTGCCAGGACTGGGTCCTTCGTGGTCCATGAAAATAAAGAGGCTGGAAGTGTTTTTGCTATGGATTCAAACAGGTCAAGCATTCTCTGGCTTTCACTACCCGTACGTAAACGTGACAGTTTAAACACAAAGCAGGCAAAGAATGGATACCTAACTTATCACCTCTTTTCGGTGTGCTATTAAGATTTTGGAGGAGCTTCAGCAGCAGTACAGTCATCGTGAATATCAGATTTAAAGTCCCCACACTGCAGAAATATTTAAATCAGTCCTTAAATGTCAGCCAAACCTATTTGCACAGGGACAGATAAAACCTTTCTCAATTACCCTTTAAAACGACTATTCAGATGGAACTATTCATACTTGTATAAAATAAACTCCACTTCCAATATTCACCACTGTTTGGCGCCATTTACCGTTTCCCTCTGAGCAGCCGGCTTATTGGGACTCACAATGAATCACTGAATATCCAAGGCTATGTAGGATACACCAAAACCCATCCTTTAGAATACCGGCAAGACATTTCACCCTAGCGCTGCGTGTCACGAGCCCGTGATGTCATCAATGACCCCTCACACCCTCACCTCACCATGGACTGTTCTCCCTGCTGCCCGCGGCGAAGAGGCTTTGCAGCATTCGATGCAGGACCAGCAGATTCTGAAACAGATTCTTTCCCACCCTCAAAAGACAGCTGAACTGTTGGGAAAAACTAAATCATGTCACAGACCTTGCATCAAACTGACCATATAAATGTTTTGTTTTTGCACCATATTTTTTTCTCCCAGAATGTTTACATGTGATCTCTCCTGCACCTTAAGAAAATGGAAATGTCACGAGAGCTTTACAAAACGAAATTTCATTTTGTATACACTCTGTGCATGGCCGCAAGTGGGGCTTCTGCAGCATCCCCCGGTGGCGAGAGTGGCTTTTAAAAATATATTAGAAATACTTTGCACATTTTATAAATTTCTTATAAACATTTCGGGAAATGTTTTATTTGATTTTGCTATTACATGTATTAGGATTTTTATTTAATTATTTTGAAACCTAATCAACACAAGTTCACTAAAGTTACGATATTATGGCGTCAAGCAAGGTAGTTGTTACAGATAAAAGAGGTATCCCGCTCGCGGCAGCAGACTAGTAAATTTACATAGCCTAATGAAAGAAGATAGCAAGAAA